AGGATGGTCTCGATCTCTTGACCTCGTGATCCACCCGCCTCGGCCTCCCAAAGTGCTGGGATTACAGGCTTGAGCCACCGCGCCCGGCCCTCAAAGTGTCTTTTTAATCTTTTAACAATTTTGGAAGAATTTAATAATTTTCTCCCTTTTAACCTTGCAATAGCTTCAAGATAAGATGGGACTGCCAGAAAAAGTCTCACCTGGTTTTGATGATCATTATGCAGCATTTCCTCAGTACCCACTGGATTTTTTAAAAAGTAGTCTTTTACGAGGGTGCCAAAGTAAAAATAACCTACTATCAGTCACCAATTCTCAACCACACACCCTGGAACTTCAGGCCCTTCACAACCTGGCCTCAATGTAGCTTTTCACTGGTCTCTCATTACTCCTCTAACCTTACATTTGGGCCAAATTACTACTCATCCAACATTCTGCCCCGTACTGTTCTGTCTCCTCTTTGCACTCTCCATCTGAAAAATTTCCTATCTAGAATCTTATCCTATCAAAATCTAATTCATACCTCAAGAATGAGCTCATTGTTTCCGGATCTAATTAAATATACTCTCCCCCTCCTTTGATTTCCAGAAGCATTTTGAATTCCTTAGGATACTTACCTGACTCTGCCTTATATCATTTGCATAATTCTTTCCAAATGCTCTAAACTCAAGACACTTTGAACCATGGACTTAAAAGAATATAAAGTTTTAGGTACATTCTGAAACTGGCACACATTCAGCCTATTCTCATACATAGTGAATTACATACCCTGTTAAATTCGACACAGGGAATGGTGAGGTGTCCAAACATTTTAGAAACACTTTTTAAACAATTAGAACTGTTTATACTTCCTTGTGTTTCCTCTCATTTTACCATTTTGATTTATTATCTTATGATAAAACAGGATGAGACTTCCTGGATATGTTCCTTACGTATGAATCCTAAAATATTATGAAAATAATTTTTTTTAAAAAATCCAGAGTGAAATGTCTTACTTTCTCATAAACAAGTAAAAGGATAAAGGGAACAGAAACAGAGACCACTTTTCTCTGAAAGAAGACTTAATTAATTTAAAAAATAGTTAAATGAGTGGGAAACATGAATACTGAATTAACTTACCTCCACACTTTGGGTTTGGGCAATTGCTGGCTGAACCCAAGTATCTAAGAAGATTCCCAGGAAGATCATAGGGAGTGTAGGAAATATTTCGGATCTTAATGGTCCGTGCAGCTAATTCCAGGAGAGTTGGAGGATCATAGGTTAAATCTCTAACAAAACGAACAACCAATGGATTTCCTCGTAAACTCAACTCTTCCAGATGAATAAGGTTGAGGATCTCTCGAGGCAGGTACGTCAGCAAGTTATTGTGAAGACTTAGGGAACGAAGTGAATGCAACCTAGAATAAATGCAGTATAAAAATCAATGGCGGCCGGGCGCCTGTAATCCCAGCACTTTGGGAGG